TGTGCTGCAGTCCCGTGTGGGTCAGGGCTGGGGTGGCGAGGGTAGGATGCCCGTGTGTGTTTGTGGGGTGGGTGCATGTGCCTGTTCTGCATGGCACGGGCGCGGGGCTGTGATGTGCGGGAGGGGAGGACGGCAGTGCACAGACCTACGCATGAAAACGCAGACTGGATTGGAGGGAATTTGCCGATTTGCTTGTAAAGCACAGGCTTACTAGAGTTTAAATATGTTTTCAAGTAACCTGGAAAGCTCAGGCAGATGAGGAATGTGGGCTTTACACGTACTATAGACTTTTTCCATTCAATTGCAAAAAGGCTGTTACATTGGTGGGGGGCTCGCCTCCCTCCCCGCTTGTTTGCGAGAACCGTTTCTGTCGGGCTTCTTTGAAAAGGGGAGGATGTGGTGTTATGAACAAGCTGAAATGAATAAAGTAACATTCGAGACGAACAATACTGGCAGTGCCAGTGAGAGCTTTCCAAAACCCGTAACATTTTCCAGCTGCTCACTCTTAAAACATCAGGCTGGAGCTATAAAACTGCTAGCCACAGGTGGGTGAGAAGGAAGGGGGTTTCTGAGAAGGAGAGTGAGCCAGAACCACCCTAACCCAAGTAGTCACAGGCAGGCAGTGTCTATTAGCAGCGGCTAGTAGATCTGCCCGTGTTGGCTGCTAGCTTACTTACAGAGGGGGTTAGGAGTGTGTTTGTAAGTGGATCCTGGATTTATGGATAGACAGTGATTCTAAATTTCCACATGCACACGTACACATGATCTCCCTTCCCTCCAGCTAAGAAAAGTGGCTGGCCTTCGCTCTCGTGTGGCCCTGTGCACGGGTAAATGACTCACTTTTGGAGGAGCGGGGAGCAGCATGGATCCCTGCACACGCTCTGAGCCTGGCAGCCTCTTGCCGGGGCTGAGCTGCTTGCGTCTGGGCAGGCTGGAAATGCCAGGTGCTGCCGGGAGTTGCGGTGCCCATCCCAGGGGAGCAAAGAGCCCTCGACAAGGGGCCGGGGTAGAGGTGCTGGTGCTGCTCCTGGGGGAGCAAGTGGCATGGGCTGGGGGTGTGGGGTCGGGGGGTCCCTGATGGGAGGGAGCAGGGAGATCCGGGGTGTTGGAGGGAGGATGAGCCTGCTCGCACTTTGCTGTTTCGTGGAGAGAGCTCCTGCCCCATGTGGGCTGTTGGAGGCGGAGGAGCCTGCTCGGGGCCTCTGAACGGGGGCACTGGGGGGCTTATGGAAGTCCTTGGCATGGGTAGGGGATGTACTTCGTCTTTACGTGTTCGCCATCGGTGCTTGTCCCTCCTTCACCTGTCTTTCCCCACTCAGAGTGAGCCAGAGCCCCACTGCTCTTTCCGTGGAGGGGCTGGGGAGGGCTGTGCACACCCACCCCCCTGTGCATGCACAGACATACATGCACACGCTCACTCCCCCAAACAGGAGGCACCGCAGTCCTCCCCAAACCGTTCTGCTCCATCGTGACTGTCCCAGTCCCTTCCCTCACCTCCACCTGCCAGAGTTGTCTCAACGCCACCCGGACCATCATCGTGCCAAGCCTGTGAGAGCTGGGCTCAGGCCCTGCAGCTTGTTTCTCTGGTCAGCCCCAAGGCTGCTCTCCACAGGCCATGCAGTGGCGATGCCAGGGGACTCCGGCTGCTTCCCAGCCTGCGGCCAGGCAGCCGAGCTGCAGTGACCTCAGCTCGCACGGGGAGAGCCGGGTCCTCTCGCTTCACTGAACACCTCCCTGCACCTGCAGCTCACGCCGGCCCATCTGTTCCATCCCGCTGACCCTCTGTCTCCACCTCAGCTCTGCACTGTGTGCCTGTGCCCTCCTCTCCTCCTGCTCTGCCATCTGCCACATCCCCATGCCTTTAATCCCTGCCTCAACACACATCCCTGCTGTCTCTGCCCCTGTGGACCAAGTCCATCTGCTCCTGCCGGCAGCTTTGCCTTCAGCTGGAATATCCTTGGCCTCCATCTGTCCCACCAGCTCTCCTGCATTCTTCCCACGCAGCCTTCCTCCTGGCCACCTCATCCTCAGCACCTGGGTTTGCTGATCGGCTCAGGAGAGGTCCTGTGCCTGGAGCTGGCTGGTACCCTGTGGCACCCAGCTGCAGACACGATGGCAGGAGTGAAAAGGCTCCACTCCTTGCACCACCCGTCCAAGGAATCTGAAGAGGTTTCCAGCTTCCATCTGGCTTGGGACCTGGGTCGTGTCCCTGCCTCCATGGCGGAGGAAGCCATGATGCTGCGGCCCAGCAGAGCAGCCAGCCTGCATCTCCTCTCCCTCTGTTGACTGTAACATCACACTTGGTCTGAGTGTGACAGCACCCACAGCAAGGTCCGAAGGCTTTTGGGCTGGACCCGGCACTGGCAGCACTCCAGGGGCTGCAGGTGGACAGACCACCCCTGCCAGATGCTGCTGGAGCTATTTCTGGGATCCTATTCCCATAACTGCTGTTGCTGGTGGGGTTCTGCTTGTCCCCCCAGCCCCTCTCCCCACCCAGGCCATGCTGTGCTGAGCACAGCCCAGCTCTGGTGACAACGTGGCCGTGGCCATGACCATGACAGCAGCAACCACGCTCAGCATCTGGCCTTCTGCAATGCTGTGGCACTGCAGACCTGCTTGGGGGGGCTCTGGGTTTCTTGCAGACAATGAAATTGCTCGTGAAAAACCAGAAGGTGAGGGTGCTCAGCCTGTTCCCAGCACCAAGGCTGATTTCTCAGGCAGGGCTCAACTGCAGAGGGACCGCAGCTGGGGGAGGATGGGGCAGCCACCAGCTCAGAGGGACACTGTGGGCCAGGCACTGCCCGAGGCTGAGCGGAGAGCCTAGCACAGCCGAGGCGAGCAGAGCTGTGTTGAGGGTGCAGGGGTTTAGCTGCACCCTTTTAACCCAGAGGAGAGATGCCTGTACCCACCTGGACTGAGGAAAAGGCATTGCTGGGGGGTGGCACCCTGTGACCTGGAGGACAGCCAGCGGGGCTGGGAAGGGCTGGGCAGTGCTGGCTCCCGTGGAGGCTCTCGGAGCTGGTCAGGTGAAGGCAGGGCAAAGCTGGGGTGCCTGGGGACACCAGGAGCAGGAGCCAATTCAGCCAGCCCGGCCCGACCAGGAGCGCCTGCCTGCCCCTTGCCTGTGCATGCAGCAACAGGCTGGGCACTGGGGGACTTTGCTCCATCCCCGCTCCCTGCACTCCCCCAGGCCCCGCTGCTGTCCCCGTCCCCAGTGGGTGGGGTGGGCGATGCCCCCTCCCCAGCAGCAGCACAAGCTGGGGGGGTCCCTCCAGCTCCTGCCCCCCAAGAGACCTTGCCGGCAGCATTAGGCAGGGCAGGCAGACCTGCCCGGGGACTGGTTGAATAGCCGGGGTGCTGCTATCTGTTGGGGCAGGGGGTGACGGTGTCTCGCTGTGCTTCCCCCTAGGAGCTACTGTGCCTACGTGGTGCAGCGCAACGTGACGTGCACACTGCAGGACGGGGCTGAGAGCTACGTCAAGGCCGAGTACCACAAGTGCAGCTGGGGACCCAAGTGCCCGGGGAAAGTGCTGTGAGTACGGGGGATGCTGGGGCACAGCGCCCTTCCCCTCCCAGCTTCAGGTCGCAGGTCTTCTTGGGTTCCTGAGCCCCCGTGCCACCCTTCCGACCATCAACACGTGTTTTCCAGAGGGCAGTGAAAGGGGCTGAAGGGCTTTTCCTGGATGAGACAGTCAATGGCAGGGCAGCGGTGCTGGGAGGAGGCAAGGTGGGATCTGTCAGGAGGGAGAGGGAGCTCTATCCCTCATCAGAAATAAATCAGGAGACCATGGGAAGCTGAGGGGGTACATGTGCATGTGTGCAGGGAAGCATTTTGTCACAGACCTGCAACTTGGCAGAAAGATGGCAGCTAGGTGAGAGCCTGACCGAGAGGAGGAGGAAACAGAGCCTGTGGCTCAGGCCTTCCTGCCCCAGGAAAATATTTGCCAAACTTTGCCACCTCGTCAGTGCTGGAGGGAAACACCCCGCCGTGCCACAGCTGGAGCCGCAGCCGGGGCAGGGTGGACACTGGGGCTTTGTGCTTTGCCACCCTCCACAGCCCCTGGCCGGGGATGATGCTCCAGGCAGAAATGCTGCTCTCCTGCATCCTCCCCTGGCCCGCCGAGAGTAACAGAGCCGAGCACCGAGGAAAGCCGGGCTGAGAGGGGCTTTTGTCGGAGCCTGGCACCCCTCCTGTGGCACCAGCACGCGGCGCTGCAGCCAGCCGGGACTTGCCGTGTGCTGGTGGTGCCAGGGGCTCTGCAAGCAGCCTCTCCCGGCAGAGATGGGCCGTCGGACCTGCTCGCTGACTTGCTTTTTTCCTTCTTCCCATCACAAGTGCTTTAGCAGCATTTGGGGACTTCAGGACATCCTGCAGCCGCTGGTACCTGTGGCGGAGAGCCCCAAAGCCTCTCCCATCTCCATGGTGTCCGCTGCTTGGCCCCTCCAGCCCTTCAAACAAAACCGGGGCGAAACCAGGGTGTTTTCTGAAAGCAGCTGGACCCGTAGCTGAACTTTCTGCACCGCCTCGGATGCTGCATCCATGCACAAGAGACAAACATGGTTTTTTCCACGTGCTGGGGCCATCAGCTAATGTTTGTGCAGCTGCAATAAATACTTCCCCTTGCTGCCGTTTGGAGCAGGGGGAGAAGGGTTCGGAGGTGCCGAAGGGCTCCGGTCTCCTCTGTAGAGGCTGGCATGACACAGAGAAGGTGCGCTGCCTTCTGGATGCCATCCTCATCCTCACTTCACCCCCTGACAGTGGCTGGGTGCAGCAGTCTCCTGCTGTGGTACATCCAGGCAGGTTTCTACACACTAAGACAGAAGGAAAGACCATAGAAACTCAGCAACGTCTGTAAGAGGAATAACAACAAGAAGAGCTTGTTCTGAAACTGTCCCGTGCCTTTGGGAAATTGTTGATGTTGAGAAATTTTGAAGTGATTCAAAGAACAGAGGATTTGGATTTGCTTTCTCCTCCTGCCCTGCAGTACGCGTAGAGGTGGCTGTATCGCACCGGGAGTCACGTGGAAGTGGCATTGCCCGGGGGCTGCAGCCAGGGCCGGGGGCACTGAGGACCTGGGCAGGGACACCGACGACAGGGGCTTCGCCCCATGTGCTGCCCTGAGCAACTGGATGGGTGCGAGTGCCTTATGCAGCCCCTCCGTACAGCACAGACGGTTGTGCCACCTCCTCCGAGACCTTCCACTGAACGTGCCGGAGAAGAACAGGGGCCCAATTGTGTGTTTTGTTGAAAAACAGCAAACTTCAGGATTTTCAGGCCCTGGTAAATTCAGATTGGAAATTTCCAAAAGGCAGGTTCAAAGCATTGGCGTTTCAGAGGTGGTGAGAAACGCGCCGTCTTCAGCCCTGCACAGCTCAGCTGGGTTGGTGGGGGGAGCACGGGTGCTGGCGGGGTCCTGTCCATCCCTGCCACCTCATGGGAAAGTCCCACGAAAGAGCAGGGAGCAGCTGAGTCCTCCCCGCTGGGCTGGTGGGGACCCCACATAGAGCGAGAGCAGAGAGGGAGGGTGTTAGTGTCCCACCGGGCAAGGAGGTGGGCTTGCACCCTTGTTTGCTGTGTATGGCGGGGATCGATGTTGTAGTGCTCAGATTGGTGGTGGAGAAACCTCCCAGGACATCCCAGCTGGGGGCAGGAGGAGATGTAAGGAGCCATCCCTCTGTGCACACAGCATCGCCCTGGTAAACCTCGCCAGGGCTCTGCTGCTCCCCTGACAAAGCTCCTGCTTGCAAGGCCAGCCCAAGCCACTTAGGCTTCCCATCAAACTGATGCCCTCCACACACAGAGAAAATACCTTTCCAAAGGTATTTCAACCCTCCTGGAGGCTTCAGGACAGGATTACAGTTCAGAAGAGGATTTTTTACCCCACTAGGAAATTCTCTAGATCAATTCAAAGTGCAAAACACCCACAAGCAGCCCAGACCCCTCTTGGAAGTGATCTGAGCTTGCAGGGGTTTTGGAATCACTTCCATCATTTCATCCTGTGCTCTCCTGGGCCAAAAGTTGCCAAACTGTGTGGCATCTGTCACAGTGGTCATCTATCGGGCCAGAGACCAAAGCAATACACTTACAGCAGCTTTTCTAAACTAACAATAGGAATCCCAGGTTAAAAAAAAAAAAAAAATCCAACAAAAAATCCTGTCCAGAAACCACAGATACATAAATAATGGCTCTGCTCAGATAGTCCCTCCTCACCCCTGGGCTGTTTGTCAGGCTTGTCTAGTTGTGTTACCAACTTGTTGGGGAGAACTCTTCTCTCACCATGTGCTGTCACACCTGCACCTCGTGGTCCAGTCCTGGAGAGGGTGGGCACATGTTTTTGGAGTGCTGGTTAATGAGCTGTGTCCCTGGACAGGCACTGAAATGCTACACTGAGCTGTGGTGCAGCAAGAGCTCTTGGAGGAGGTGGGTCATGGTCTGCAGGTGCAGCACATGGGTCTCAGCCAGGCTGTCCCACGTGCCCGGATTTCCCACACCCAACAGGACCCATGACCCCGCTCTTCTCTATTGCTTGACGTTG